TTTTAATTTATAACTTTTTTTTTATTATGCAAACTATATTTTGTCTATTAAGTAAAAATGTTTTTTATATTATTTTACATATAGAATAAAATTTTTTAAAATTTAAAAAAAATTTTATCAGAATAATTTATAAATAAATACTTATAAATATAAAAAATATAAGGATTTTTTATATAAAATATATTTATATAGCAAGTATATAAAATTAATAATTAATATATTGACTGGCAGGTCTGGGGCATCTGTGTAACCTGTTACACAGAAGAATGCAAACTGGTACCAGGTAGTGCAAACCTAAAATAAGTTCTTGGGCCGTATAAATCTGTAAAACTGAGAAGCCGGAGCCTACTTGAAAATTCCGAACAAAAAGGTAACACAGATCTTTGATGGTACTACTGTAAAGACTAGACCTAGGAAATGAATACCAATGTGAAAGATTCGAGCAGGCAAGAACCTTAGGTGAGAGGTACCACCAACCAGGCTGCTGGATTTCGGACCAGAGAAAAAGGATATTAGACCAACCTCAATATACCAAAAACAGGTCACAGTCCTTCCAAGCTATCTGAATTGGGAGTTTGGGTTCAAAGTAGGAGTATACTAAAAGTATTAGAGATATGCTGTAAAGTCAGTACTAGAGTCTAGATAAACTCTGCAAGAGTAGCCTATGTTAGTGTTCTAAAAGTGGGTAGATAATTAACAACAAGAGGCCCCCGGCACTTTACTGGCAGGTGACATACTCTGAAATGTATAACGGCCTAGGAACTAGTACAAAAAAGATAGGTACTATATTGCTCAGATGGTATACCAGTTAGGTATATATGGGGAGTTAGTTGGGGATTCCAATATGACAGGGCAGATAATCAGAGAGTTTAAATAGATAATCTTCTAGTAGGTTATAGGTATGGCATCTAGTGTAGAACCTTAGAGCAGACTACTTAAATAGGCAACCAAAAGTTGCATGTGTAACTAGCTATACTCTTATCTCTGTAAAAATAGTTGTAATTATCATTGCCAACTAAACGTTTTAACATCACTATGTTTTGGGTTTATCACATGATAAAACTGATTTTAATACATATTATAGTTAAAACTGATAAAAATAATAAAAATAAAAGTGATATAACTAGTGATAATTAGAGTGATAAACTATTACTATTATATTATGTATATAAAAGTTTACTGTATTATATAAAACTAATATCAAAACAAATGTTAATTTAACAAGTCATTATATATTTCAACAAATCATTACTTATTTCAACAAGTCATTGCTTATTTCAACAAGTTATTACTTATTTCAATATGTCAAATAATATTGACGATAATTTAAATCCTATTGATGATTGTTTAGCATCTTCTTCAGCGAATAAAAAATCTAATCCTGAAGGTCAGCCTCGAGCTGAAGTATGGAATTCCTATACTATTGATACAAAAAATAGAAAATATTATTCTATTCGATGCCAATATTGTTCTAAGTATTGGCAAAGAGGAATCCCATTCATAATGGAATCACATTTAGCTAATGAATGTTCTAATTGTTCACAAGAAAATCAAAATTATTGGCAAGATAAAATCAATAATCGAAATAATAATTATCAACGAACCTCTAAAACAAAAACAAAACATACAACACATGATACAAATAATTTAAAATCTCATTCTATTAACGTTAATCATCAAAATTCACTTGATCGTGCTGTATTAAAAGCTTAGGTTGGATGTGGTATATCATTTGACATTATTGATAACCCTTTTATACAAGATTTACTTATGCAACTTAATCTTGCATATTACCTACCTGGATGTATGACATTATCTGGTCGAATTCTTTTTTTTTTTACGCTTTGAAGTGCTTTATTAATGTTCCTTAATGCTGCTATGCTGTCTGTAAACACTTCTATGCTTTTCCTTTCTGGTACTGTTAGGATTGCCGCCCATATTGCTGCTAATTCTGCTATTGTTGCTAATGGCTAGCCTTTAAGTCCTAATGCAATTTCCTTTTCTGGCCAGTCCTCTTTCTCTTCTACTTGTACCCAGCCGATACACATTTTTCCTATATCGTTTTCTTCTTTCTTTTTATATAGTGCTCCATCAGTATAGAAACTGTATTTCCTTTTGTCTCTCTTCTTGTTTCATGTCAATATCTCTACTAACTGATTTGTAATTA